GTCCATCCTTCAAAGGGTTCTGACGCTTATCATCAACCTCTTGAACCGATTAAGAAGAGAAGTTAAGACAACATCACCCCAAGCCGCCCATGATCGGCTTCATAAACAAAACCCTACACCTTAAGTATAAATTGAAGAACGCGTGTTCAGGGCACCCGCATCTCGAGCGGGGACGCGCCTGACGTGGTAATCGGGAAGACTGCCCCGGTGGCACCGGTTGATGAACCACCGGGCGAAGCAAGTCGGGTCAACTGCAGCACCCTCCAGAAGCAAGACGGCATCATCGATCAGGTAGGCATGAACCGGGCGAGGATCTAAGGGAACTTCCCCCTTTCATTTATCATTTTGCAGCCCCGGTCTTGACTTAGGGTTCTCTACACATAATCTCCGCCTTTGTCGATTCCAAAGCGCCAATTTTTTTAAATGCACAGATTTTTTGGCAAAGGTCTAACTCTCAAAAAAGACACGGGACCTTTCCTACGAAAACCGGAGGATATCGATTTGTTCGTAGAAGTTGAGATGTGGCTCCTCGGCAATCCTGTCTATTTGACGCCCAGGTACTCCTGACGGAGAACGAGAGCGGGCAGAAATTGGTGAAGGTCCGCGCGCGCTCGGTGCGGGTCCCGCAGATCGGGGACAAGTTCAGCAGCCGGCACGGGCAGAAGGGCGTCGTGGGCATGACGTTACCACAGGTGGGCGGTGGCAAAGCCAGTCTCTTTTTAAGGCCGGGAGAGATTGGAATAGATTCTGCTGGGGCCAAGTAAAGAAGATCTGTGCCATCAAGATTCAGGTTCTGTATGGAAAGGAGCTCCAGCTCTTCGGAGAAAGGGACAAGAAGCTTCCGAACTGACAAACAATAAAGTCCAGTCCTGTAATCCGTACAAGACGCCTCGTAACCATCGATATCTGCCTAATGATGACATGTCGTTATGTTTGTAAGCTTGTTCGGCTGTCCCTTGTAGACGATTCCTCCGTAACGAACTATTGTGGAGAGCCCCTAATCCAAAGCTAAGCCGCGGCTGAAAGATTCTGATTCTTCGGATGACGTTCCCCCACCTCACATGTCAATCATCATCTCCCATGCAGGAGGACATGCCATTCACCCGGGATGGCGTCACGCCTGATATCATCGTGAACCCGCATGCTATCCCCGGCCGCATGACGATCGGCCACCTCATCGAGTGCGCGGCCGGCAAGGCCGCCGCCTGCAAGGGGAAGGAGTGGGACGCCACGCCCTTTGCTGACGTCACGGTGAGTACACGTCGCTCACGTCATGGTGGATCCCCCTTTGTAGACTTTCTGCTTTCCTCGCACAGGAAGAAGCTCTTTCCCTTCACAGTGTAAGCTGGTAAAGTATGGTAGTTTACTGAACGGACTGCATCCGGTGACATTCTTGGGTGCAGAGTGGGACTGCGCAGAGAATGATGGTCAGATCTTAATATGGAAAACTGTAAAAGCCTTATGTAGCCGTTCTGACTAAGATTTCATCATTCTTAAAGCTATGTAGCTGTAGGGACGCCATTGTCATTCAGAGTATCGACGCCTCACTCAGCGGGTTAAGCACTTGAGACAAGACAATTCCGAGTGAAGCTTATCAGGTAAAAGAGACTTCGACCAACATCACTTTACACATCCACGAGGTGATTGACTGGACGTTTCCAAAGCTCCCCCTCTGCACATCGTCTACGATTGGCTCCCCCACTCTTCCTCAGGTCGAAAGTTTCCCGGTCAAGAAAATGGACGAGACCGAGCTGAAGCAGCTCGGAGTCGGCGGCCGGTGCGAGATCTGCCGAAGGAAGCTAGCGGTTGGGGACGCGTGTCAGCAGATGGCACCCTGCGGCCACGTGTTCCACTCTGATTGCCTGGCGCCGCGCCTAGAGGAGGGAAACGCGTGCCCAAGTTGCCTCAACGTGGTGAGAATCGTTTCCCTGCCAAAGGTTCCAATTCAAAGCTGTCAAACACCCGGGTAGAACGGGCTTAGCTCCCATAAGGGTTAGGCTTCGTACCGGCTTTTTCCGGCCATCACTTTGAGTAGCGCCGGTCGCTCCTTCGACCGAGGTACCGTCGGACAGCTTAAGGCGGCCTGTGTGATATCGCGACTATCCTTCTGAGATTCATAGATTAAAGCATCGGCAAAACCTGGCATACAGACAAACGTTTGCCCAGAGATTACTCTTTGAGTCCTGTACCTGATTGCTACTGTAAGGCTCTGGCGGCAATTTTAAGCCGTTTCCATAGGCTGACGAGGGCGAAATTTCGTGTTGGTGTCAAAAAACAAAGGTGATTTATCAGAGTCATGCCACTGATCAAATAGTGCACATGAGAGTCTGCCATCAGAGCACCAGACTTCAGGCGTCCTCTAATAGAAAAGGAGACTTAGCCGTCACTCATTGGAGATCTGAAAGCCCCTTAGAATCCAAATTAGTAAGCGAAGGAATTGCGAACCCTGAACAACCAGAACTTGGGAAAATCTTGAATCTACAGGTGGACCAGGTTTCTACGGCGCTCCAAGCGTGCGGTTATCAGAACAGGGGAAATGAGGCAATGTACAACGGGAAAACGGGGCGCAAACTAGAGGCGAGGGATCTTTGTGGGGCCAATCTTTTACCAGCGGCTCAAGCACATGGTGGAGGACAAGATTTGCGGCAGAGCAAGGGGCCCGATGCAGGCAAGGGCTCTGATTCTCTGTGTTTCTTCATCTCGTATTTACTTTCCGCGAGCTTTGAAGAGGTGTCGCGTCAGTTTCGGTGCGGACCACCCTTGGAGACCAAACTTACGCAGAAGTACGAGCCGGTGCTGCCCGGCGATTCATTTCTCGTCGTAAGATGCTACAAAAAGCCACGCCCTGTGTATCGCGATCAAGGATCTAGATTGACAAGTGAGCATCTTGTAGAGTAGCGGAACCAGTTTCGACAACGAGTTGAAATGGCGGAAGGATGTTTTCGATGAGCGGAATTAAGATTCATCGGGGGTCCCGCCATGCCTTCTGAGGATCATTTAAGCAACCTGCCAACCAGTCTGGTTGAAAGCTGCCGAATGATCATTGCCCGAAGTACTTGATTAAGAGATCTAATCGCACGAACTGACGACCACTCTACTACCCAACGAAAGCCCCAAAAACCCACTCCTTGGGAGACAGCTAAAAGCTGACGTTCTCACCGCAGCCGCTGACGCGGCAGCCCGTGAAGGGCCGCGGCAAGGCGGGCGGGCTGCGCTTTGGGGAGATGGAGCGCGATCGCGCGATTGCGCACGGCGCCGCGCGTTTCCTGAAGGAGCGCATGATGGACCAGAGCGACGCCTGCCGCGCGCACCTCTGCGCGCGGTGCGGCCTGCTCGCGAGCGCGCGCGGGTGCCCGGGGTGTGCGACGTCGGCGGTGGTACAGGTGGGGCTCGCTACAGCTGAAACGTTCTTTGTCAGTACGGCCGCCTTGCGGTGTGTCTCAGGGCCCGAACTTACTAGATCGGAAGCCATGCCTTCCGCCTTGTATCATGACCCTTCTTCGGGGCTTCGTTATTGTGCAAGGAGGTTTTGTTGTGTACAAAGTTCGCTTCTGCAATGACGTTCACTCTCATCTTTGTGGGTCCTTTCCAGAAGTCATGGTTGACCAATGCGCTTCCTTTCCTGCTCCAGGTGGAAATACCGTATGCCTGCAAGCTTCTGTTCCAAGAGCTTATGGCGATGGGCATAGCTCCTCGGATGTACGCCTAAAAGCGCCAAGATCGACGAGCGTGTGCGAGCCGTTCTTCCAAACCGACACGCAATTCTGCTTTAAACTTGGCGACCAGGCTGCCCTTCGGGAAAGCAGTGAATCAGGACGTATTGGAATGACCCAATAAGAAACTTTAACGGCAAATGTAATGATCGAGAGTTTATATCGGCTACGAACGTGGGCGAGGGATTGGATAGTTGTTGCATGATTCCTTGTGCCATGCAAGTCGTCCTTTCTGATGCGTGAAGTGATTTCGTTCTTTACGTGCGACTGTAGTACGGGAAAGCGTAAGTAAAGGCAGGTCGGAGACCAGCTGAAGTGATCACGACTTTTCTATGTGATGGGGAGCAGGACATAGAGCATCCTACGAAAGCAAGATGCTTCAACCGCACACTTGTAAGTGCACTTCGTCAAAGACGGGAACGATAAAGAGTACTCGTAGATCGTCCACCAAGTCTCCATCTATCTACAGAAGGCTGACTTCAACAGAATTCAGGAAATTCAGAAGGGCTCTGTAAAATCGATGCAATCAACTTGACAGCAGCGTCGGCTCACTTTGACGCCGCACGCATGATTCAGCATTCGAAATGAGAACAGGAAAGCTTGGTGGATGTACATATCCGTCTGTGCGCAACGTTTCGGTAGATCCATCCTGATTGATTGTTGCCATCAAGACGTTGGCACGGACTATCAAACGGCACCATATATATTGCCAAAACTCACGCTGGGCCGCCCTGATTGCTGGCAATCTCAAACAAGATACCTATTAGGACGACATTATTGAATCGATCTTTCACTGAGCGGCTTTGAGACACATTAACAAAGTCTGAATGTGATTTCCGATGGAGACATACGTGTAGCAGCAGCGCGCAGCAATGCAAGCGGACTACGGATATGTGAGGTTCAAGTTGAAGCGCGATCGTGCTTTATCGCAAGCGCGGGCATAATTGGTGGAGCCCATCAGATGAAGACCAGCTGCCAGCCCGAGCGATGTCCACTGGACGCACATATGCCCACGGTTGCATGTTCGGGCGCCCCGCTCGTGTGTGCGGCGTGCGCATGTACGGGAAGCTAAGC